ACTCGTGCATTCTCAAATGTAAATTTTATATTTTTTCCTTAAAAATTAATTAAACAATTTAAAATTCTGTCGAGATTTTTATCAAGAATAGAGAGTAAATATTCAGACTCGTGCATTCTCAAAGGTAAATTTTATATTTTTTCCTTAAAAATTAATTAAACAATTTAAAATTCTAATGCACCATCCAAGTAATTTTTTCTGACAATTGGTAACATAATCAACTCTTAATCATGCTATGACTATTAATTATAGTTGCTATTATTGTTAATTAGCATCAACTTACTATTATTGTTTATTAACGGCGTTAGATTAAACATTTTAATAGGATAGATTCCCTGATATAATTGACAACTTTCACTTATATTTTAATGGGACCCACGGCAAATCTCGCCGCGATCAACTGTCGCTACTGTCCGGTGTATTTTATTTGTTTTGTTTCAAAAGGTTGGGTTTTCTTTTGTTTTTGTTTTTCTATTCCCGTTTCCTCTTATTTTTCCTCCTTTTGATTCGTTATTTTTCCTTTTTGGCTGCGCTTTATGCTATGTTTGGTAGGAATGAAAGAAAATATGATAGAAAAAAAATATAGAAATGATAAAAAATAGTAATGATGAAAAAGAAATTGATTTTCTTTTATATTGTTTGGTATGAGAAGATGAAAATAAAATGAGCTTACCTTCACTTGTTTGGTATTGGAAGTTAAATTAGGAGGAAAGAAAAAATCTTACTCGTAAATTACTTTTATACCCTTAAATTATTTGCTTGGATGTTGATGGAGAAAATAGTAGTTTAGTAACTTTGCTCACTTTAATGAGTTGTCCTAATTTTTCATCCCATTTTCTGCCCACTTATGGAAAGAAAAAAAATAGTGGGGCCCACATGTATTATTTTCCACTCCATTTTCTCTTCCTTTCTCTTTTCTCTCTTACCAAACAACCTACATTTTCATTTCTCCTCCTAAAATCCCTCCACCTTCTTCCTTCCTTCTACTTTTCTTTCCTACCAAACTTTCCTTTTAGTGCCTATTCTTTTAAATGTTACATTTTCAATATACCAATTAATTCGTACAGTGAAAAGTTTTCTATTCATTTATCATTTATGCATGTTGCTTTTTCCTTTTAGTGCCTATTCTTTTAAATGTTACATTTTCAATATACCAATTAATTCGTACAGTGAAAGATAACATTTTTTTATTATAAAAACACAAAATCCGTTTATACACTTTTCATTTCCATAATTAACATGATTTTTTTCATAATGAAAATATCATTTTTTATAAAATGAAAAATAAAAATATATATACATACATTCATTTTCATGATAAACATAACGTTTTCGTACAAAAATGTCATCTATTTGAAATAAAAAGATATTTTCTCAGTTAGTTTTTTTTTTTTTTTTCAGTTCTCCTTTATTTTGCACTTGTATATTTAGTCCTAAATCTTTATCAGAATTTTTATATTAATTTTATTACTGAAGGTATTCATTTTTGTGTATTGGCTTTATTATAGTTTTCAATTCTTTCATATTAATTTACGATGTCGTCTTTGTCATAATGAAAGTCGTTTGTTGGGTTTAGGGTCGCCAATGAGAGGTTTTTTTTTTTTTTTAGTTGGGAGGTCCTTGAATTCTTTTTTTTTTTTTTTCTATGCGTTTGTTTTCGGTTTTTAATTATTTTAGGTTGTAATTCAAATAGTTTCCATTTGAATAAAACATGGAAACTTTCCCTTTAAGATATAAAAGATTTATTTCATTATACTAGCATTTGATTTCCGTTTCTAGAAGAGATTATGACATAACGTGATTCTTGAGGTTCTTTTTTTGTCCAAAAAACTCAAAAAAAAAAAAAAACAACTTGAGTTTTAACTTTATTTAAGTTCACGTTCTTTTAAGTTTCAACTTTATTCAATTTTACTTAACTTTATTCAAATTACAACTTTAATTCAAATTATAATTTAAAAATTATACTCAAATTACACTCTAAAAGAACAAACTCTTTATTTTCTGATTTCTACGTGCTATTTCTTTTTTAAAACTATTTTATTGGGTGTTAATGATATTATTATATATACTAAAGTAAAGGGAGAAATTACTGTTCATTGTACCGTAAATAAACAGTCCTTTTTTTAAGTTTCTCTTTCGAATTTACCTTTTGATCCTTCCTCCTTCTTCCCTTTCGGCTCAGGGGTGTTATAGTTTTTTTACTGTTTATTTTGAATTTACGCTTTTTTCCTTACCTGTTTACTTTGCAGTTTGCCTTGGCTTGAGTCTTTTTCGTCATTTTGGTGTGACCGAGGCTTTAACCTCTGTTGTTTACTCAGTGATATATAACATAATATACAGACTTTTTTAGTGGACCTTTAAAGAAATATATGTACATATATATGTGTATATATATTAAAAATTCCTAACCTCCTCTGTGATATAATAATTTTTTTTGTAGCAACGCGCAGGTAAAATAAATATTTTATTATCTAAAGCTTGAAATGTCTTTACATGTCTCATGACTATAGAGATTTTTATAATTAAAATAATATATATTTACACAAGGTGATATATTTGAAGAATCCTTATCCTGTAAATGGCCCTTTGACTTTTTAAGGCACGTTCTAGAAAACTTATTTAAATAGATTTTGGGACATTTTTTAATCCGTTAATATATCAGTAGGTTAAATTTTTTATTCATTAAAATTATATAAAATCACATAAAAATTAAAAAATACGCAGATTTAACAGTTTAAAAATCTGACCTATCGGTACACCAATGTATTGAAAATCTCTCATAATTTTTTATGCTTTAGATAAAAAAAGTGATTTTTTTTAAAATTCTCTTATACGACTGACGTACCGATAAGTCATGTTTTTTTAATCATTAAATTTATTTACTTTTTAATTTTTATGTGATTTTATACAAATCTAACGTATAAAAAATCTCAGTTATTAATTTTATGAGAAGATGTTCCTTTTATCATTGCTCTCATTTAAAAAAAAATGAATAAACAATTTTTTTTTCTATTTTTAAAAGCAAAAACTTGAGGTCATCATTTATATCAATGGTGAAGTCATCCAAAAGAAAAATCAATGGTGAAGTCAAAATCGACGTGCGGTGGAACCTCACTGATCGAGTTTCCATAGTCGCTGACGGTGCGGTCTTTATCATTTATTGAGTGCGGACTATGAATTTTTGTTTTTTATAGTAATATTTATGGATTTGACCTCTTACATTCATCGCCACCTTGGCTGTTGCCTGCATTTTTTAATTTTTTTTTTTATGACTTTTCATTTTTTTTATAGTAATATGTATGGATTTTACTTCTTAGATGCATTATCACCCTGGCTGCTGCGTGACTTTTTAACTTTTTTTATCATTTTTTTATAGTATATATGTAAGGATTTTACTTCTTAGATGCATTGTCTGATTGTCACCCCGGCTGCTGCATGTCTTTTTTAACTTTTTTTTATGTCTTTCATTTTTTTTATAGTAGTATGTATGGATATTACTTCGTATCTCGTTTTATATTATTCTCTTCCGATGAAAAGATGGTTTGATGACTTTGACTTAGACGTGATCAGAGTCATAGAAGAAAATTCAAATTCAAATGCCGTGTGTTTAGAGTTAGATTTGTTTTTATTTTTTAGTTTTTTGAGAAAAAAATAAAAACAAATCTAACTCTAAACACACGGCATTTTTTGAATTTGAATTTTCTTCTATGACTCTGGTTAGAAGAGAAACGGTATTTAGTATAATTAAAGATAAAAAATAAAAATAAAAATAATTTTTTAATTTCAGAAGAGAAACGGTATTTAGTCTAATTAAAGATAAAAAAATAAAAATAAAAATAATTTTTTAATTTAGTGTAAAATAAAAGAGAAATAAAAAAAAATTTTAGTCGTTTTTTATTTTTTATTTTTATTTTCTTATCTCTCGAGCATAAAGAGAGAGATATTAATGAATTTTTTATGCTGAAAATAATCTCTTGATAAAACTACCAAACGCATTTTCAAAATTGATTTTTATCTGAGATTGAAAACATTTTCACTTCTGTTTTCATACAAAAAATAAAATCATTTTAAAACGAGTTCCAAACACACCCAAAGTGTTTTCTTTTATAAAGATTTAATTTTAATTTTTTTATTAGTGTTTTCACTCATATAAAAAAATTTAAGATGTGATTTGAGTTGTAAAAAGAAAACATTTTAAGGATTTTTTGGAGCATATATTTAAGTCAATAATTCTGATTCATTTGCGGCAATTTTATGAGAGAAGATTCTTAAATTGAAATTCTTTAAAAGATAAAAAAAATATTTTAATAGGGACTATTTAGTTCGCTAATTTGAGTTTTTAATTTAAGTTGGGATGTGACTTTATGTAAGAACTCTTTACCGTAGTAAAAAGGTTAAATGTGATTGTTTCTAAGAGTTTTTTAGGCTTCGTTCACTTTGCAGACTTGAGTTTTCAATTCAAGTTGAGACGTGATATTTTCTGAGAGTTTTTCACAGTAGAAAAAAAAAAGTTAAATGTGACATTTTATAAGAGCTTTTCACTGTAAAAACTTAAAACTGAAAACTTGAATCGGTAAAATAAACGAAACTTTACTCTAATAAAATTCTAATTAATAAAATAAATGAGGCCTAAAAACATGCCAAGTTGTCTTTTCTTTTTTTTTTCTCTACTTTTCCGGCATTTTTTACAATAGTATGTTTGACTGTTATTCAATTATGGTGGTATATGAATACGGGAAGTGAACGGGCCCGACATTTGCTTCCCAAATTATTATTATTATTATTATTTTTTTTATTATTTTTTTTGGGTGCGTGGTCGTTGAGATGTCATCATTATCTTGTGGTGGAAAAATTATTTTGAAGACTTTTGTGCTGTCCAAGCATAGAAGACTAGCTATGACTCAAATGTATAGTATCATGACAGCTAGAGCTGGCATTCTCCTATAAATTATTGGATCTCTTAAAGCATTTGTTTTCACCAAACACTTTTCTTTCCTTTTTTGTGCTTCATTTTTTTTCTTCTTCTTCTTATTTGGTTGTTTCACTTACTAAAGATGGAGCACACAATCTCTCACTCTTCCCTTAGAGTATCCCCTTTTATTGCTCAACGTTACAAGGTCTCCTCTCAAGTGAATAGGTTAATTCCAATTAAGCCCACAACCAAATTAGATATTAAATCATCCAACTTTTCTTCAAAATCCTTCGCCAATAAATTGATCCACCCAGAAGGGCTCTATGGGGAAAGCAGGTTTTCAAAATCCTTATTATTTGCCCGACATAACCGTAATCACAGTCGGGTATAATTTTATTTTATTTCTTTCAATATTCGTGAGTTAGTACGTGCTCAGTTTCTAATAATCATTTGAAATTAACCAAATATTGTTTAATTAGTTGCATTTTTCAGCCATAATGAAGTGAATATGGGATCCCTTAAAACAATTTTAACTTCGAATCTTCAGGGAGATGGGATAAAATGAGAAAGATTTAAAAACAAAAAAAAACAAAAAAAAAAAAGGTAATCGGCAATAAAATAAAGGTATAATGGAGACGCAAATCATTGCACATCCTAGTATATATTTGACATGATTTTATGCAGGCTTATTATTTACGTTATTTTAAATAATTAGGTGTCGCGACTTTGTTTTTTCTCTTTATTAATTAAATAATAATTGTTTTTTTTTTTTAGTAGAATAACATAAATAATATTTTTTACCATCTTAAGTGGCATAAATAATATTCTTGTGATTCGATTACCTTTGTAAGTTGTTGGAATTTCTTTCATTTCAATTACTTATAAATTGAACTAATTTTTGTTTTAGGCATCCGCTAAACTTGAATTTGCCGGTTCAGACCTGGTCTTTCACGAAAATCAACCTGAATCAACCGGTCCCAATTTGGTTGCCAAAGTTTTACGCTTTGGATCTATTTTCTATACATTCGCCAGGCCCTATACAATGATTCATGTAATTATATCGTCCATGTAAGTAAACTTTTACACAAATATATAGAGAGAAAAAAAAATAAAAACTGATTTTACAATGCAAGAAAAGAGATCTAGTTGCGCATTGTAGTTTATATAACTCTGTACATGATTCGTTTTTTTTTTTTTTTTTTTTTTTTTTTTTCAACAGATGTATATTTGCAAGAGTGATGCTGGAGAACAAGCACTTGTTCAAATGGTCTCTGCTCCTTAAGAATTTCCCAGGCCTAATTGTTATGCTTCTTGCAAACGTTTATTTTAATGGCATTAATCAGATTTTTGATGCCGATATTGACAGGTATGCTTTATATATAAATATATAATATATATATATATATTATAACAACAAATATCTTGACAATTATATTGGAGAACAAAACTTAACTGCATCCAAATAAAAATAATTTTCTGAATACCAATATACTTTGCTGGGTGTCCATGGGGCAACATACCAGCCTTAAAAACTCATGGTTTCTACAGCCATCTAGTATTGGCCTTGGTGCTTGTAAGTTATGTTCACTCCGCTAATTTCTTAACAATTGGAATCAAAATGGCATTTTTTCTTCCCAAAATTAGTGCATGCAGAAGCCTTCTTACTTTTATTTGTTTTATTTTTTTTTTTTTCATGTAGAAAAACCTATTTAGCTTATTTTGTCTTTATGTGTTACTTTTCAGGACAAACAAACCTTATTTGCCTATACCAGCAGGAAATCTTTCACTTAAACAAGCATGGGTTTTGACGATATTTTCTGCACTTGGTGGCCAATTGATTTTGTGGTTGATGAATGCCGACCTAATCACTACTGGTCTCTTCTGGTTTTGTCTTTTATTGGCCACTTTGTATTCTGCCCCTCCGTTTCGATTCAAGGAATCTTCTCTTGCAACAATTATTTCTCTTCCTTTGGTACTTTCATTTTTATCCAATCCAGAATCTTGCAATTAAATTTCTTTTTTATTCATTTATTTTTTTAGGTGGTTGGAAATATAATAATTTTTCCTCTAAAAACTTTAAAACGGTATAAAAAAAATGTATTTACGTGTGATTTGAGATCAATTACAGTATGTAATTAGATTTTATCATGTAAATTTCTACAAAAGACAAGTACTTTATTCTAGAAGCATGAAATTAACTGTCGTGAAATGTTGTGCTAGCATATAGAAGAGTATAATTTGTGAAGTTGTTATATATTTTTATTTTCTAACTTCTATTTATAGAGCATCATAAATTCTCTCTTTGCTATATAGTGTACGGTAGAGAAAAAACAATGGTAACAATTTATATATCTTTTCTGAGTTAAAAAAAAGAAAAAAAAAAAAAGAGAGAGATATTTTGAATAACAAAAGCGACTTGTGCAGATGAGTACAGCTCACCATGCCGGTGTACTCTACGCCACCATAGTTTCTCTTGGACTTCCATTCCAATGGAGGTACGTGTTAATTTAGATATTGTTATTTCATATTTTGGTCTTTTTTTAATCAAATGAACTTTTGCCAAATTATGTAAATAATTTTCAATTAAAATTTTTTATATTGCTAAAAACATGCAAGAATCTCTTCAAAAAATAAAAAAATTAAACAAGAAATAAAACTTGCAAGTATATAACTTTTGTTATTTCAGTTAATGCCTAGACATTAGTTCAATATTTTATAGAAATCTTATGTTTCGCTTTCAATTTTACCCTGTAGCCCCCCAAACGTATTCATCATTACGTATGTCGCATTATATTTTGTGGCGGCTTGCCTCATAAAAGATATTCCAGATGTGGAAGGTGACATGAAGTAAGTTTATATTTATCATTGAATTTAGTAAATTTAAAATCTCAAAATTTTCTACATCAGTCATTTTTTAATCTCATAAACATGTTTAAGCTTGTATATTCATTAACTTTTCAAATAATATTAAAACATTATAGGTATAACATTCGAACATTTGCGGCGATAGTCGGACCTAAAAATATTACAATTCTTGGAATGGGAATTTTGTTGGTAACTTTTATTGGTGCTATAGCAGCTGCCATTTACTTGCCTCAGGTAATTTTAATTCTTCGTCTTTAAATTTGTTACTATATAGTGTTTGTTTGTTTTGTTTTGTTTTTTTTGTTTTCTTTTTTCTTTTTTTGTGGAAGGATGAATATTTGTATAAATATTCAAAATCTTAAATTATTTGAGAGGTAAAAGTTCAGGCTGTTCGGCCCAAGCCCGGCACCCTGAATGAAGATTTCATGTCAGACCAAACGGGTACCTAAGCCCGACAAATCTAGGGCAGCCCCATAATTTTTATGAGATATTTTCAATAGAATTTTTAAAGAGATGGTGTTTGGGTCGCGCTAGCCTAGCTCAAATAAGTGTTTAGGCTTAAAACCTCAGCCTGGCCCGGTCTGACCCAAAAGTTAAGGCCGGGCAAAACTTGGGCCAACACTGGTGGCCCTCAAGCTTGCCTATTTAGCGCTGCTCAAACTTACAGTTCTAGATTATCTGCTCAAACTTACAGTTCTAGATTATCTTATGAAAGAATGCCTATCAATTTTCTCTTTGTTTTCCTATTTATTTCTTGTAATTTTTGGATTTATTAAAGTATTTTATTATCCAACTAACTCAATTTGTATTTAATTGGAGTATGATTTGTTTTAAATAACAAATTTTTCTTTATAAACAAGATAACATTGTCGACCTAACCAATAAAATCACTGGGCACTAACCAACTATGCAAAAATTGGACATAGAAAAAACTAAAGCAAAATGAATCTGGTAGACATAAGAAAAAAAAAAAGATTCCATCAAAGTTTTTTTTTTTTTTAATTTCTTTAACTGATCCTTCTTTATGTCAAGACTAAGAACTGATACATAAGTTCTTGTATTGAATGTTTACAGGCTTTCAAGGGTTACTCAATGTTGACTGGTCATTTAATCTTTGCCTTATTGTTACTTTTTCAGGTAAGTCATACATAATTCAAGAAAAAAAAATATAAGTAAAAACTCTCTTACAATTTCGTTTCATGTTTTCCTTCCAGGTCCGAAAGTTGGACAAAGCAAACTATGTCCAGGTAATAATTATATATGTACCTTCTAATCAACTATATGTTAACCAATGAACAATAAATTATTGAAATTTTGATCACATGTTTGATTTTATCATGTTTACAGGAAGCCAGCACAAATTTTTATCAATTCCTTTGGAGGCTTCTTTCATTAGAGTTTCTTTTATTTCCTTTCATATGACAAATTAGTTGCCCGTTAATTGTATGTTTTTCCCATATAACTATAGTAAGGTGGGAGATAAAGTGAGCTCTGTGTAGCTATGTTTAAGATATATATTATCGTTTTATTTCTTTTAATTTTGAATAAAAGCATTCGAGACAAATATTATAATTTTAATTAATTATATCAGTAGTATATTAATACTTTAGATTGATTGTAATCAATCGATCGATCTAAGCATGATCATGTGTTTATGGTTATTGTATTAGTATTAGTTGCTATTGTATTTTTTTTTTAAGAAAAAGAAATTGCTATTGTATTTATACAAAACATTATGTTAAAATAAACAAGAATTAAAGTATCATTGATATGTTTTTGCAGTAGTTTATCATATTTCGTCGAGCAGGAAAAAAGACATTAGAAATTAATTTTGAGCTTTCCTTGTAGTACGTTTTAATTTTCGTGTTTTCTGAATACGGATATTAGAATCCATAATATTTTTTACTGAAAATGTTATGTTATATTAATTAAAATGAAGAGAAAATTATTCAACTTATTTTAGAGTGAGTAGTACTTCTGAATTTTTATTCTTTTACTTTATATTAATGCCATTTGCACTAATATAGTTTTTTGACAAAGAAGGATATATATCAACCAAGAATAAGAGATAAACATCTAGACTCATACATTCTAAGAGGTATTTGTCTCATTTTCCCAATTAAAAATGTTTGTTATGTGATGGTATTTAGAAGAAAAAAAATGATCCTTCCTTGCTATTAGAGAAAAAAAAATATATATATATATATATATCTTTTTCCTGAAAAAATTAAATTTTGAAAGACAAATAGTATTAAATATTGAACAGTTAATATTAACAATTTATACTAATCATGAGTGGTTCTATCCACACCCCTTTTTTTACTCTGCACACTCCTCTTAAATTATAAACTTCTTATTACAAAAAAGCCCTTAAATAAAATGGCAAAAAAAAAGACAATAAAACGAGTTTTTTTTTTCTCTCCACACACCCAACGTATCATATTCTCAAATTATAAACTATATCTAATTCAAAAATACATAACAAAACTCAAAATTTCACTTTTCAATGATTATTCTCAAAACTTACATAGAAGTGTGTTTAATTTTCTTTAATTTCGTTGCATGAAGATTTTTACTTTTTGTTTTTTCTTTTGCATGGTTATATTTATTTACTAATCAATCTTTTAAGCAAATCATTTCACCTTTTTCGCTTTTTATAATGCCAGATTACAGGGTTTTTCCCCTTGGTTCTCTTTTTTTTTTTTTTTTAATTATGTTGCTTGTGCTCATAAGGTAGTATCTTACTACACTTTTATTTGCTATTGAGTCTGATCAAAATCAATGAATTTGATGCAACTCAATTTATGTTTTTTTCATTTACTTTTTTATTTATCATTTTTAGTTTTTTTTTGTTTCCCTATTGCACTTTAAAAAAACGCTCCATACCCAAAGTTTCAAAAAAAATATCAATAAAAATGATATTAAAGTAATAAATTAATTTATGTGGAGTATGCAGTTAGAAGAGGGTGCGGAAAGTAAAAAAGTTAGTGTGGAGAGTAAAGATGTGAGTGTAAATAAAACTATCCTTAATAAGTTTATGAAAATAGTTAAAGGCAATTTTGTAATAATAAGGGTGTACAGAAAGAATTTTAAGTCATCTAAAAATTATGTCGAGTATGCCGTTAAAAGGGGGGTAAATATAACCACTTTTATACTTCTAGGATGGGTCATTAAGTGTTTGTTTTAGTACAACATAAGTTAAAACAGTTCGAACCAAAACAAAAGGATAGCAGATATTAAAAGCATCATAATTGATTACTTAATTTGGCTTCACGTATTTCTTTAAACTTTTTATAATAAGTGAAACATTTATCAAAAATAAAAATTGAAGTTCTAATAAACTTGGAAACTAACTCATACGGTAGGACAGGTTTTTTTTTTCTAGTTGAGTAAGAAAAAATACCTTTTGACTACAAAGTCCAATGATTTGAGATGATGATTCATTATTCATATGGTGTACCTGCATACATTAATATAGCATCTGCTTAGAAATAGAAAAGAGAAAAACTAGCCACGCCCCTTTTTCAGAGTCAACAAAAAAATATAATAAGGTTACTTATAAACTAAAAATTCTATTATTTAAAAAAACAAATTCAACTAAAAACAAAACAAGGCTTATAATATTTGCAACAAGAATTGATCACTTACATATATTATGTAAAAGCACTTTGAAATGCCCTTTATTCCCAGCAACCGATGTTGAAAGTCGTGCTTTCAATTTCGTTTTCGTATTGCCAACCATTTAACACCAACCTATAAATATTTATTTTTAATTGGTGTACGTTGAAAGTATTCGACATTGTTTTTTTTAACCATACTATGAAGCAACGATGCCTTTTAGGGGTCGGGAAATTAAATTATCTTATCCAATGCTTATGTATTATTATCAAGGTATTTTTCCTTTTGGTAATTATATATCTTCTCTTACTGGTGTATATATCAAACGAAAGCGAGCAGTAAAAACATATCTTCGATATATACATCTTACATGAACGATTGAATCAATTTAATTATCTAAGGTACTACTATACTATTGACATAAACTCACAATTATAATATTTGTCTTGAATGCCTTTTTTCAAAATTAAAAGAGATGACATAAACTCACAATTATAACATTTGTCTTGAATGCCTTTATTCAAAATTAAAAGAAATAAAATGATAATATCTTAAAAATATTACACAAAACTCAATTAATTCCTTACCCCACCCTAGTCTATAGGGGAAAACGTATAATGAACTGGCAACTAATTCGTTACATGAAAGGAAATAAGAGAAACTCTAAATTAAGAAGGTTCCAGAGGAATTGATAAAAATTTGCACTTGCTTCCTGCATACACACGATAAAAATAAAAAATATGATCAAAATATCAATAGCTTATCACTCAATCAATAAACTAATGTATATGTATTAATTGAAATAACAAAAGTTATACTTCCAAGTTTTTTATTTTTATTTTGCTTTTATTTTTATTTGTTTGAAGAGAATACTTGTATGTTTTTAGCGATAAAAAATTGCATAGTCAAATAAATTATTTGTTTTTTTTATACAGTAAATATTAAACAATAATTTAGTTGCTTCACAAGTTTTCCATGACACCATTTCCTTTTGACCATCAAATGCCAGTGTTGTAATTAATAGATCTCGCTTATTATCAATCCTACATCATATGGGATCTCCATTAGTTTTATATATAATCACTAAGCAACAATATCTCGAGAATGAACATGGTTTTCTAATTAAGTTATGTGGAATAAATTACTACATGAAATTAAAAACAGATAAATATAGTGAAGATTAAACGTCGAATTTAAATTATATCATTCTAAATAGAATGTCAATTAGCTGCGCCAACGAAAACGCGATGTTACTATATATATATATATATATTTGCTAACTGTGACTCAATCAAATGGTTACACGTAAAATTCTCTCTCAAAAATTACAACTACTGAGCTGTAACTGAAATAACCACGTAATATTGTATCTCATAATTCCTAATAACTTAAGCTGTAATAAGAAAAAAAAAACACTTAAGCTATAAATTAATTAAGATTAAATAATATGCCAAATGTTCCTTTGAAGGAAAAAGAGCAAGATATGAAAAAGTAAAAATAAAAAAACAAAAAATTGTTACACGTACCTCCACTGGAATGGAAGTCCAAGGGAAGTTGTGGCGGCGTAGAGTACACCGGCATGGTGAATTGTACTCATCTGCATAAGTTGCTTTTGTTATTCAAATAATCTATTACCACTGATTTTTCTCTACCGTGTAGTATATGGCGAAGAGAGAATTTACGATGCCCTAACTAGAACCTAGAAAAAAAAGTTAGCAACTTCACAAAGTATACTCTTCTTCTTTATGCTAGCACAACGACATAAACTGAATTTCATGCTTTCTAGAATAAAGTACTTGACCTTTGTCTCATACAGTGTCCTCTAATCATAAACTGAATTTTACGTGAAAAAATCTTACATATTATAATCGATCTCAAATTATATAGCTTAAACATGTTTATAAGATTAAAATGTGACTGACGTAGAAAATTTTAAGATTTTGAGTCCACAAGATGCAATGATATATATAAACTTACCTCATGTCACCTTCTATGTCTGTGATATCTTTTGTGAGGCAAGCTACCAAGTAAAACAACTCAACAAAGGTGATAATGAAAACGTTTGGGGGGCTGCAGGGTAAATTGTAAGCGAAACGTCAGATCTCTATAAAGAGTTAAACTAATGTATATGTATTAATTGAAATACCAAAAGTTATACTTCCAAGTTTTTTTATTTTTATTTTACTTTTATTTTTATTTGTTTGAAGAGAATACTTGTATGTTTTTAGCGATAAAAAATTGCATAGTCAAATAAATTATTTGTTTTTTTTATACAGTAAATATTAAACAATAATTTAGTTGCTTCACAAGTTTTCCATGACACCATTTCCTTTTGACCATCAAATGCCAGTGTTGTAATTAATAGATCTCGCTTATTATCAATCCTACATCATATGGGATCTCCATTAGTTTTATATATAATCACTAAGCAACAATATCTCGAGAATGAACATGGTTTTCTAATTAAGTTATGTGGAATAAATTACTACATGAAATTAAAAACAGATAAATATAGTGAAGATTAAACGTCGAATTTAAATTATATCATTCTAAATAGAATGTCAATTAGCTGCGCCAACGAAAACGCGATGTTACTATATATATATATATATACGCGCTAACTGTGACTCAATCAAATGGTTACACGTAAAATTCTCTCTCAAAAATTACAACTACTGAGCTATACATGAATCACAAAAAGGTGGAATTTGAATCGTGACAAAAATAACCACGTAATATTGTATCTCATAATTCCCAATAACTTAAGCTGTAATAAGAAAAAAAACACTTAAGCTATAAATTAATTAAGATTAAATAATATACCAAACGTTCATTTGAAGGAAAAAGAGCAAGATATGAAAAATAAATATAAATAAATTTAAAAAAAAAACAAAAAATTGTTACACGTACCTCCACTGGAATGGAAGTCCAAGGGAAGTTGTGGCGGCGTAGAGTACACCGGCATGGTGAATTGTACTCATCTGCAAAAGCTGCTTTTGTTATTCAAATAATCTATTACCACTGATTTTTCTCTACCGTGTAGTATGTGGCGAAGAGAGAATTTAAGATGCCCTAACTAGAACCTAGAAAAAAAACTTAGCAACTTCACAAAGTATACTCTTCTTCTTTATGCTAGTACAACGACATAAACTGAATTTCATGCTTCTAGAATAAAGTACTTGACCTTTGTCTCATACAGTGTCCTCTAATCATAAACTGAATTTTACGTGACAAAATCTTACATATTATAATCGATCTCAAATTATATTTAATTACATTTTTCATGCCATTTTTAACTTTTTAGGGGACCGATGATGTTGTATTTTCAACCACCTAAAATGTAAATAAATTAAAATGAAATTTAATTACAAGATTCTAGATTGGAGAAAAGTAATAATACCAAAGGAACCGAAATAAGTGTTGCAACAGAAGATCCTTTGAACCAAAATGGAGGGGCAGAATACATAGTAACCAATAGGAGAGTAAGAGAAAAGGAACAAGTGGTGATCAGGTTGGCGTTCATTAACCATAAAATCAACTGGCCCCCAATTGCAGAAAATATCGTTAAGATCCACGCTTGTTTTAGTGAAAGATCCCCTGCTGGTATTGCTAAATAAGGTTTGTTCATCCTGACAAATAACACATAAACACAAATACACTAAACCATGAAAAAGAAAAATCAAACAAACAAAAGTAAGAAGGCTTTTTTGTTTTGTTTTTTTAAAAAAAAAAAAAAAAAACAAAACAAAGGTAAGAAGGCTTTTGCATGCACTAATTTTGTGGGGGGAAAAAAAATTACCACTGTGATTCTAATTGCTACGAAATCAGTTAAGAAGCACGCAAGTCCTGAACGTAAATTAAAAGCACCAAGGCCAATACAAGATGGCTGTATATCCTTTTACTTTTAATCAGGAGTCTTTGAGGCTGCTTTATTTGCCCATTATTGGTGTGGTTCCTTTAACTGTTATTTTTATTTGGTGATGTAGTTTAAGTTTAACAGATTGTTCCAAGATAATCGTCATGACATGTGCTGCTATATATGTAAATATATATATATATATATATTTATATATAAAAAAAATACGTACCTATCAATATCGGCATCAAAAATCTGATTAATGCCAGTAATATAAACGTTTGCAAGAATTATAGATATTAGGCCCGGAAATGCCTTAAGCAACATAGACCATTGGAACAAGTGTTTGTTCTCAACCATTACTCTTGCAAATATACATCTGCTCCAAAAACAAAAAACAAAAAAAAATGAAAAGATAAAAACCAAAACCAAAACCAAAACCAAAACAAAACATATACATAGAGTTGTATAAACAACTATGCGAAATTAGATTATTTCTTGTATTGCAAAAATCAATATTTTTTTTCCTCCTCTAAATTTGTGTAAAAGTTTACTTACATGGATGATATTGATACTTGAATCGTTGTATAAGGCCTTGCGAATTTATAGAAAACAGATCCAAAATGTGAGACTTTGGCGACCAAATTGGGAGCTACTGATTCAGGTTGATCTTTGTGAAGGACCGGGTCTGAACCTTCAAATTCAAGTTGAGTGCATGCCTAAAACCATAATTAGTTGAATTTGTAAGTAGTTCAATTGAAAGAAATTTGAAAAACTAACCAAGGCAATCAAAATCACAAGACTGACTATGTATAGAAAACACTTGAGTAACGAAAAATGCTCAAATGGTTCAGCAAGCAAGCCTCCAACAACTCTATTTAAAATTAATTTGAAATCCATGTGGGTCCCATGTATTACACATATATATGTATAGTTAAAAGTTTGTACATAACATTTCGCATTCGTGCATGTCATTTATCCTTACGCAAAAGAAATGTTGATATTTTTATAAATTTTATCCCATTAGTCAAAACTAAAATTGTTTTAAGGGATCCCACATTTACTTCATTATACATGAAAAATGCAACTAAACAATATTTTCATCAATACAAAAGGATGTTTGGTGGTTCACAAAATTAATTTGCATGATCATTTCCATTACTACAAAGTGAAGCAATTAAGCGTGTACTAACTAACTAATATGCAATTAAAGAAATAAAATAAAGTATACCCGACTATAATTACGATTATGTTGGCCAAATAATAAGGGCTTTGAGAACCTGCTCTCCCCATAGAGCCCTATCGGCTGGTTCAATTTATTGGTGGAGCATAATTTTGAAGGAAAGTTGGATGATTTGGTATCTAATTTTGTTGTAGGTTTAATTGGAATATTCAACCTATTCACATAAGAGGAGGCCTTAAAACGGCTAGATATAAAAGGTGGTACTTTAAGGGAAGTGTACTGGGAGATTGTGAGCTCCATGTATGGTAAATGAAACAACCAAGGAAAAATAATAAAAAGGACAAAAGCAAACGAGAAAGTGTTGAAAACAAATGCTTCAAGCGCTTCCAAATTTATAGGAGAATGCCATTGCCAAGTTTACTTGTCAATGTTACTGTAAAATTTGACTAGCTATTCTTCTATGCATGCTTTTAATAATGGAAAAGTCATCAAGACAACTTTTTTTTCATCTGAAGATAATGATATTTAAACAAGATACGTATAAAAAGTATTAAATAATGGACACGGCAGTATCAATTAATTGACTGTGTATTTGAGTTACTGAAAAGTAATCAGAAAAAATAACAGTCTTCTACAATTAGGTAACAGAAAAGTAATCAAAACATTTTCTAAAAGAAAAAATATTATTTAAACCGAGATTTCGATAACTCTCCGATTAGGTAACGGAAAAGTAATCAATAACATTTTTTTATTAAAAAGAAAACAGAGAGAATAGGCTACTTGTCATGATCCTATAAATTTGACTAGTCTTCTATAACTTTGATGGCTAAAAGCCATGGAAACATCTTTTCATATATCGGAAGCAACGAGATAAATAACGGAAATAAATAATGGAACATTATAAGAAAAAAAAAGAGAATAGTCGACTTGTCATCTAATAAATTTGACTAGTCTTCTATGACTATTCGAAACAACTTTTCAATGAAAGAGAGATTAAATGAGATAAGTACGAAGAATAAGTTCGTTCACTTCATCAATTTAAGTTTTTTCTACAAATCGTACAAAACGCCATTTAAAATAGAAAGTAGCTCATTAGTCTAGTAGGTAGCTTTTTCCAATCAGATACATGCACGGAGTCCCACTCAAGTGGCCCACTTCTTGAGTTTGAGGATTTGTCCCCGTTTGAATAAACAGCATTGCCGAGGAAAAAAAAAATAAGGGAGAAGAAGAAAAATAAGTTAAGATTTGAGATAAATTAAAATTAATAAGTTAATAGTTTATATAAATTAATAAATAAGTAAATTATTATTTTTATTCATAATTTATCTGGTTATGAACTATAACTTGATAAGTTATTCACAGTTTTTGTCCATAACTTGTCGGGTTATGAATCATAATTTAATAAGTTTGTCCATAACTTATTTGGTTATTAACCATAACTTGACAAGTTATGGCCTATTAATTTCTATAACTAAAAATTAACTTATATACTTTCTTAAGTTTTTTATATTGGCATATTTTCTACTATTTCTTAAAAAATAATTGCATGTTTAGTTCGCTGATTTAAATTTTTAATTTGAGTTAAGATGTGACTTTATGTGAGAATTTTTTACTGTAATAAAAAAATTAAATGTGATTATTTCTGAGAACTTTTTACTATAACAAAATTTAAATTTTAAACTCAAATCGGTGAAATAAACGAGACTTTAACTTTTTTCTCTCCTCCATTTGAATAAGATGTCCTTTATATTAATGCTAGTTTAACTCTACGTGCTATCCACGCAGCAAGTAAACGGTATGTTAAGTTTTGATCACCTGTTAATATTATTTTTAATTCATTTAATAATAAAGACGTTAGTTAATTAGTTAGAGTTAAAAGAAAAAAAAAGTCAGGTCAAAATGAAAAAAAAAATTAAATAGGTTTTAGGGCAATAGGAACCAAAATGTAAAAAAAAAAAACAAAAAAACGTTTCAAAAAAAATAAAAATATATTAAAAAGGGACCAAATGAAGAAATAAAGAAGTTTTAGAACAAAAGGAACAAGAACGGAAAAAATAAAATTTGAGGGCAAAAATAAGGAAAAAGGATAAAAAGAGACTAAAATGAAGAAATAAACAAGATTTAGGGTTAAAAGGAATCAAAACGAAAAAATAAAGTTCAAGGCAAAAAATAAAAAATAAAAAAAGGACCAAGTAAAGAAATAAATAAATTTTAGGGAGAAAGAATTAAAAGGTTAAAGAAAGTACCAAAATGAAGAAATAATTAAATTTTAAGACAAAAGGAAGAAAAAAGAATAAAGTTTTGGGACAAAATAAAAAAAAAGTCAAAAAGAATCAAAATAAACAAATAAATAAGTTTTAGACTATAAATTTAAACCTAAAATAAAATAAAGGACTTAAAAAAAGAGGGGAGGGGGCATTTCGACCAAAATAGTGTCATTTTGGGTGAAACTTGAAAGAACCAAAATGAAAAAATAAATAAGTTTTTAGTAAAAGCAAAAAAATAAAAAAATAAAAAGTAAAAAAAAAAGATGAAATGAAGAAATAAATAAGTTTTAGCAAAAAGTGAACCAAAAAAATGAAAAAAATAAAATAAAGTTTCGGGAAAAAATAAGAAAAAAGGGTCAAAATGAATAAAATGAAGAAATAAACAAATTTTAGGGTAGAAAACAAAAAAGAATAAAGTAAAGGACCTTAAAAAAAAGAATGGAAGAGATTTTTGACTAAAACGACATCATTTTAGTTGAAAAACGTGTGAATAGTAAGAGTTTTATGCTTTCTGCGTATGTATGGATTTAATCATAGTATGTTTTTTTTTTTTTTTAAAAGTATACATTTTGGTAAAGAACGAATAGAATCGAAAACTTATTTCAGTGGAACAATTAGGAGAAAATATTTATGGAGGTCATACTTGATAAATAACATTTTTGAGAATTATAAAGGGATATATAAATTTTAAGGAGTAAAAAGCTAGATGAAAAGTTTAGGGAAAAAAAAAACGAAAACGACAAAAATATAGAACGAAGATGATATTAAACAGTGTTTTTGGGAAGTCGGACTTATATATAGTAAGAAAGAATAGATGTGAGGGGAAAAAAGATTGTAGTGTCTTTAATATAGACATATTGTAGAAAAAAATAAATAATAATTATCGAATCTTAAATCTAGCACACACTGACAACAATAATGTATAGAGATTATATCAGAGAAAATAAAAATAAAATAAAATAAAATAAATAAAAAAACTTTCACAGCTTGAGTTTTTGTGTGTTTTACCTAAAGAATAAAAAATAAAGTATGAAACGCATATTCAACAAAAACCTATTAAAAAAAAAAAGAAGAAGAAAAAGAACATAATGAAAGCGATACTAGTGCAAGTAATTAACTACTCAATTATCATGGTCTTGTTTGTTAACGTTAAAAGTTTTCTAATCTTCTTCAACAATAAATAAAATCATTTTCTCATGTTTACTAACACCTTATAGCTAGGTACTATTCAACGCTGGTCTCTCTTGATTTGCTTAATTTGAAAAAAGAATTTTTGTTTATTCTATCTTAAAAATTGAGAGTAATCACCTAAGACCTCTTTGTCTAATGATACTGGAAGGGTTTGAGTAAGGATTATGGGTTTAATTTCGTGTTGTATCAAAAAAAAATTAAGAGTAATTTAAAATAAAAATAAAAACAAAAACATGATGGTGTTACAACTTCATTGGGTAGAACTGGTCACCCTTAAAAACGGCATGCAAGGGGACAGGACCACAGCCTTTATAAACTCATTAATCATCTTATATTTATTCTATGTGTGACTTTAGGTTATCTAAGACAAGATCACCAAATGTGTTTTAGGAAAAAAAAAATGACATTTTTTTATCTAAAATGTGAGGAACTTTTTTTTTTCTAATCAAAAAATGAGATCAGGTGATACACCTCACGTCTCCATTCCTTCAGCTATAGCAGCAATAAGGGCCTGAATCATACTCCATCCGTCCATCGAACTAAGGTTCGCCCACCTTGCCATGAGACCCACTTAATTTCTCACATTAGGCAGGAATATTTCAAACCGTAAAAGGATGAATGATACGTTTGGTATTGCTTTTTGCTCCTAAAATTAGTTTTTGTTTGTAACAAAAGCTAATTTTAGTATTTGGTAAATCTCTTTAAAAGTGGTTTTTGAAAAATTTTTGAATAATCTACAGCTAAAATCAGAAACAGTCTAAATGCAACTTTAGCTTTTAGATTGTGCAAGAATCAATATAATACAATTAATGAAACTTTCATAATACCTATTATACCCCTAATAATATTTTAAATTTACAATCTTCTCAATCTAAAATTCAGACTCGTAATATAATATAATATAATGTAATAGTAATATTGTAACAAATAATATCATAATTATATTAATAACTCTAATATTATTATTTTATTATATAATGTGATATTATAATAATATTATAATTATTTTAATAATATGATATTATAATTATAAT